TGAGCTGAGCTGAGCCGAGGCAAAGTGAAGTGAGGAGGAATAAGACTGACTACCATCAAAGCAGCCAGCAGTGGAGAGGCGGAGTACCCACTACCACGGTGACTTAACTGCACCTTGAGATGCAGACTTGGATTGCGAGGTGTCTTCGTGTTAAAGAGGTGGTGGTGCTGGTAATTATGTTAGAAGGGAAAATGGTAGCAGTCATAAAAGCAACGGTAGAATATCGATGGAATAATTGCAAATCTCATCTGCTCTCTGTAAAGAGGAGAATAAATAGCTAAAAAAATGGCCTTTGGGATTACACACCAAATGTCGCTGTCATGACAAATTATTGCGAAACTCTCAACCTTTTGAGCCTACGAATTCCCGTTCTCATCGACTTTGGGATAAAAACACGCTACTGACCCGACACGTATAACAAAAGCGACCTCTCGCATTGGGACTATGCAATGGCCGAAAGTCAACACAACGAGGCCGAAACAACGAATCACAGTCGAAGTAGAGATAAGCCCTGATGTCACGCGCACACGTGCATGCATTGGTGACCCTTCGTGCGTGAGGTCAAACAGATGACTCACGTATGTACATGATTGAGCTTCGTATCTGCTCATTTACGACATCGCGTTGACGTCTCGCGGACGTGTTGCTCTCTCTCCATCTCCCTCATTACCTCCATTGTTTGCTCGCTCTTCGTTCCGCCTTCTCCTCTGCATACGCATACACGTACAATGCCCGAAAGGGGAAGGTGGGTTTCATCATTTCATCTCACGTGCCTTCTCTAGACGAAATGCATTTGGTCAGTCCTTAGCCCCAAACACCACCATCAGGTACCTCATAACAGTCTCCTCTTAATCATTCCACTAGGCACAGAACACCAAGGCATGCGTTGAATGATTCACAAACGCATTCCTCGTCTCCGCAACACACTCCTGACAGGCGGGTAAGTGGGCATGTCTTGTGTTGTGGGGAGAAGTGGGAAGAGTGGGTTGATTGCATGTTAATCCTCTCCGCTTCCTCGTAGGCCTCCCTAGTCGACGCCAGTGGTGCTGCCTTACTGGGTGGGTCAAGCAGTGGCATTGGGCAGGATCAGGCTCCTCGCCCTTCACGTGCCACTCCAATTGGCGACTCCAATTGGGCTGTAGGCAACAAGACACCTACCAACAATCCCACCTCAAATGCCAACAAAGATGTCATTAATGTTCGTGCTCAGAGAATTGGGGGACACATTACAGCACCGCAACACGGTGGTAGCAAGCCACCACCACTACTCACTGCAATGGGGAGCATGGAGCATTTGTTGGGGTTGGAAAGTGCTTATGCTCAACTTGC